GGGTTCCAATTCCGGGTCTGCATTATGACTAAGTGATCTTATGAAAAAATAGTTATTCCCGTCTTCCTTGCCTTAGCTGGCCTATGCTGGTCGATTGCTATTCAATTCGATTCGTCTTCTTCCTTCAGAGAGATATGTACGCTTTATTTTGAAAATATCATTCCAAGATTTTCGCAACGACATCATTCAAAATGTATAAAATTAGGCTCAAAAGTAATCCATATTCGCCAATGCCTGCAATTTTCGACATCGTAGGTAAATGTTCTTGGAACATTCGTTAAATATAGGCCAAATTGGACTGCTTTCAAAACGGCGCTAGCGTCTTGCACCCATGACCTCATTGTAGTTCAGATAAACGAAGCGGGATAAAAATTGTTTTATAATGGGCGAAGTAGGCCAACCAACGTATATATAATACCATTTACATGCGAATAGAGGGAGGAAAAATGACGGCTCTACATACTTATGTTCGCATTTTGTTTTGTCCGCATTTGTAAAGCCCGACCGCAGATTCCTGTGTGGATCAGATTTTCACCTCTTGAATATACACGACTTTACTTACTTTGGAAGAAGAAGCGATCACTGGAACAAGAGGTTTATTGTCCTGACGTTTCGGATTCTCTCGGGAATCCTTAATCATAGGTAATAGAAGAACATTGTGAGACATACTTACTTTATCACATATTATTGTAGGTCCGCTACATTCCCTTTCGAGGGATTCTTCAACAACCAATACCCTGGAGTCTCTGTCACAGCCTGATGCTGAATACGAAGAACCTTTCGGTAGTACCACGGGATCAACAACAGAAGAAGGCCGTGTAGCCTTGAGCGTTGAAGAGGTGCCTGCCTTTGAGCAGCCCCTCATCAAGGGGCATCTCAGTGGCTTCGGTGAGGCCACTTCTACACCCGCCCGATGGAAGCGAAGCCGAATGTGTCTACGGCGATGCTACAGTTTGGAGTCTCTCCGACCGCGGCAGTCCCGCTGGATGCTGTCACCCCGAATAATCGAATCCGAGGAGCGGGAGGAGGAGGCATCCAAACAATTACAGCGTCCACAGCAAAAGGACCTAAGGCGGTCTGCCCCCTTCGTTTTCTCCAGCAACCGACGGAGGGTGCACACTGAAAACGATGTCTCAACTGTCCTCATTCTGGAACAACTGAGTTCCCTTCTTAACGACGAGAGTGCCCACTTGGAGGACGCTGCTGACGAGGACAGAGCAGAAGTGGAACAGGAAGATCGAAGGTCCCAAAAGTTCGGCCGATGCGGCCTCTTCCCTGACCGAGCCCGTGAAACAGCCGCTATTTAAGGTCGATCGTGTTCCTATATTGAGGGCAGATCAGCTGAAGTTAACTGCCACCTTGCGTGTCATGACAAGCTCCAAACTCCCCTCCCTCCTCTCCACCCCCTCACCTATGTATTGCCTCTTTTGCCATAAGGTGTTATACACCATGTGCTTGGCTGTTGGCGGTGGTACCAGCGGCGGCGGCACTGGTGATGCTTTGTTTT